ATCGCTGATAAAAGAATATCACGTCGCGGCGCGCAATGAACTGGAAGTTTATCTGTCAGCACTATCCTTATCTTCAGGGCAGATGTTTTTATTTTATTCGGCTTATAATTCTTTACTAAATGTAGTATTTCATCTCGATGTACTCCATCTTTGATATGATTTAAATGAAATTCCTCGTCATTATAAATATCACGAGTACACATCAAATAGTTTTCTGATTGCAATTTTCTAATTTCGACAATGCTAATGTATGCTTTACGCATGCGCGCATTGAAAGAAATGTTTAATAAGGTAAACAAATAAATATAAAGCCTTTTTTTAAAATTTTGATACTCTTTAGATCAAATTGCTCTTTATTTCATAAATTACGGTTTCATATTTTTAATTTTATAATTTCTGCATGCCATCTTACCAGATTTAAATTGATGATTTTTAATCCAGAAAAACCAATAATCCAAAATCGGCGAAGTCCCGACGAGTCCGGATTAAAGACTTTTGACTGTATTGCGCTTTCCTTTGAGAAAAGAAAAATAATTAAAAGATCGAGCAGGAACTTTACATTCTTTTAGCCTCTTTTTCTAAAGATAGCATTGTCTTTTTACTTTGTGCCATTATGTAGTTATCAGAAAGGCGTCACATGCTTTCAAAAGTTTCATAGTTTGTAAAACTGTGTGACTATGTGAGTAATAACATACATCTTAGATAACTTCTACATACTAATTTTGTTTAAAATACAAAGGTAGAATGTTATAAATTTTACATTTTTAGCATTTACTTAGTATATTTATACATTTAGAATAACATCATATGAAATTTCCTCCTGAAATAAGATTAAAATAAATAGTATTATTTGTACTATATTTTTAGATTATGGAATTAATTTTCAGAAATTATATTTTTATTAATATTTGACAAAAAATCAACTAATTATACTTATATGTATTATTTTGTTGTCAACATCAATGCTAAAAGGTTTGCAAATTTCATGCTCTACATCAGGGTTTCTTAAACTGAGGGTTGCGGGACCTGCAGCAGGGGGTCGCCAAAAATTTTAGCAATTTTGATATTTCGTACAATTACAAATATTTTTTACACAATTTATTTAAAAATAGATAAATATAAGACAATACAGACAACGAAGAAAAAAACAAAAACCTTTCGATGCATTCTTTTTATAATATAAATGCTCATTTTCCTTGCTTTGCGTGTGACAATGTCATTTCGTTTGATACTTATTTAAAATGTTCGCATTGTTCTATGTCTTAAAATTAGAAATTAAAGTTAATGACCTAAAACTGCAACAGTATATTACAGTACAAGTGAAAAAATTGACAGTTTCACTCGCGCGTGTGTTGGATTTGCACAAAATGTTTGTAAATATTATGAGGTCCTGAATGTCGCGAAAAAAATCTCTCATAAAAAATTGCGACTGAAAAAAGTTTAAGAAACCCTGCTCTACATGGACTGATTTCACTCCTAAACCACTGCCCACCTCTCTTCCAAGGTGTGCAGCTTACCCCCTCCCTTGATACAGATACATTTCACATTTAGAAAGCTCAAAGGTACTATTTATCAGTTAATTTCATTTAAGGCCAAAAAACATTCAATGTGCCTCTCAAAAGGTTAATTTTGTCGTAATATGTAGCAAAGAAAAAGGAGTAATCATTACTTCATTGATTGGTATCAACTCTTTCTGGTTGCAGGATTCTTTCCCAGTTTACTTTATACCTTTGGCTGGGCATTTTATATGCGATAACACTCTTTTCTTATCATCCTGGTAGTTAATTAAAGCTTTATTGTTATTAGGCTAGTTTTATCACATTATTTTTGAACTGTCCTCTAAATAGGACAGTGAGACAATACAATGTCATTTGAAGAATTTCTCCCCTTATAACTAAGAGTATAAAGGGGGGAAAACACCTCCTTCCTAGTGATTTACCACTGCCGAGTTATGTCAATACAATGGTTTCTGAAGTTAGAGGAAGCATTGGAGTTATTAAATAGTTTAGATTTAGATGAGAGCAATGCTGAAATTTCTATGCTGCCACCACATGCCAGTGAACTAACTGACGAAGATGAAGGGAAAGGCAATGAAATAAATACTGGTGAGATTACTACAGTCAAAAGTCGTTAATCCGGACTCGTCGGGACTTTGGCGATTCCGATTTATCCGGATTATCGATTTTTCCGGATTATAGATCATCAGTTTAAATCTCGTAAGGTAGCATGCAGAAATTCTAAAATTAAAAATATGAAACCGTTATTTATGAAATAAAGAACAATTATGATCGAAAGAGTATCAAAATTTACAAAAAAAAAAAAGCTTAATATTTATTTGTTTACTTTATTAAACATTTCTTTCAATGTAAGTTGTTTAAGTTGCTTCGTTTTATGTGATAATACTTTCTCTTTAATTCTATAAACAGACTTAATTTCTTGTTCAGTTACAGAGTTCTGCTGTGCTGAGAAAACCGACTAACTTGTCAATCGAAATTTTTTCGTTTTCACTTACCTCTCTGTCACCTTCTTCATGTCTTTATCCATTTTTTGCTGCAATTCCACTTTTTGTTTGATGGGACATCGAAACATACTTTCGTTTTGGTAGATCCTTTGGGAGCTCCAGCATCGGAAATTCTATTTGACATAATCGAAAGTTCAAGTTTACTTTTATAAAATTGCTCTTACAGTCTGCAAAAAATAATAAGACGGATCCAATTCGAAAATTAAGGAACAACACAATCATCAACATTAACTGAAATAGATAATTAGATAATTTTAGCTTATACCGTCTGTTATACGTAAAATGCGCACGTAAAAATGTTGGAAAATATAACTTATTGTAAACCTTTTACTGCATCATCTCTCCTCCTTGAAATGTGTATTTAGTTTAGTTTTTATTTTAATGTCATATATTAGTTACTTCTACTTCTTTTTCTTATTGCCACTGTTTGCGTTGAGAACAGACTGTTTCAACCTAATTGAGATGCAAAAATGAAGCGTGATGTTACGTCATCTGGAAAGCCGATTTTTGCCGATAGCTGATTGGTTGCCGTGAGACGATGTCATGCCTACTTCTGCTATAAGTATCTCGCGTCGATCTGGCTCAGCCCTCCTTCTAGTTCCTGCTTTCTTGGCACTTGGGTGTGTGGTTTCCAGCCCCTTCAGAAGGATGCGTGCAGTCCGGTGAATGAGTTCCTTGGTTCCTGTATACAAGATGATTGTTCCAAAATAAGTTCCTTGGTTCCTGTATACAAGATGATTGTTCCAGAAGAAGTTCCTTGGTTCCTGTATACAAGATTGATTGTTCCAGAGTAAGTTCCTTGGTTCCAGAAGCTACCATGTGAGTGACTGCCGTGGGCGGCATCCATGTTTTTCATGAAGGTGGCATTTAAAATATGTTAGCGGCGATTCCTCGTGTTCAACTAATGTAAACAGAGTTAGGCCGGTTTTAAGTGCTTTCCAGAACTTGATTTAATTTTTCAGGTGTTTTCTTGATCATTGATCATGGACTTATTGAATGTGTAGCCAATTTCACATGAGGCCGCATAATTACTGTTTAGGACATTTTGTTTGTATTGAATGCCAGTGTTTTTGGAGACCAGGTAAAAATATTATTTGATGAATGATGGTTATATTATATTTTTCTTAAGACTGATATTGTTTAAATTTATTTTCTGTGTTTTTATTCTTTATTATATTGTTAATAAATTGGTTAAGTTTGAAACTTTTTTTATTGTCTTCAATGTCTGCACAACATATTATCTCAGGGAGCTCTTATTGCTACTACTGCTAAATGTTTAATTTTATAAGCTTTAAACTTTGCTTTAGCATCAGAAAACGTATTCTGCGCTTGCGCACACGCATATGCGCAGTCGTAAAGGTCTTACGCGCACGCGTAAACGCCTATGCGCATGTGTCACCGCGGCGCATGCGCAGAAAGTTTTTAGCTTTGAGGTCCGGATTATGGGTGTCCAAATTAACGACTTTTGACTGTATGTGATGTTCCTGGGTCTTTGGAGATTAGAACAGGAGACAGTTTCCAGGTTCAGTCGTCCATAGGCTCTAGTGTTTCGACAACAAAGAGCCCCCCCCCAAAAAAAAGCTAAAAAATATCGCACTGCGCTACACAAAATGGGAAATACAGGCTGAATCAACTGCAAGTGACTTTCTCAAGAAGATAGAAACTGCACTAAAATCTAAAACTCCATTAGAGCTTTTTGAGCAGCTTTATTCCAATGAAGTTTATAATCTCATAGTAAAAGAAACTGTGCAATGTGTAAAAACATATATCATTAGCAGACATTTTAGATCTAACTGGTTATAATTCAAATATCTGCAAAAGTGTCTACTGCTCAGATGCTGAAATCGCTTCCAAAAGTTGAAATCTTATTTGCACTTTGTGGACAGTGGAACTGTGAGTCAGCATCTCCAGGATCGGTCCTTCAAAGTAAAACCTTTGTTTGCAATACTCAGTAATAATTTTATGAAGTTTGAACACTTCTCAGCAAATCTAAGAATTGATGAAATGATTATCATGTACTACAGTAGGAATAATTTGAAACAGTTTATGTGAGGCCAGGTGATACTTTGCTTATAAACTGTAGGCTTTCTGTGGAAGCAAGTATATTTTTACAATTTTTCTCTCTTCTGTGGCAAAAAATCTGATGTAAGAAATGATAATCATATTGGTATCTGGGTTGTGCTAAAACTGATATAGAATATTGTGAATCCTTCAAGTAACATAAACTTTTTTTTACCAGCTTTGATCTTTTGAAACGTTTTCATGAACTATGTTTTTGAGCAACAGAAACCAACCATACAAGAAAATCAGATAATTTAATAAAAAATATAGGTCTTTCATAGTAAAGCCAGTATATGTAATCAGTTCCCCAATGTTTAATATGATGTTAGGTGCATAATATTGGTATGTTCTCTGAATCCACCTCTTTTTTTTTTTTTTTTAATGTTATAATAGCATAATTGATATATTTGTTTTTTAGAGTTTGCCAAAAAGCACAAAAGGCTTCAGTTTTACTGCTCCTTCATCTACATGGGAATGTGGAACCTGCTGGGTTAGAAATCCAGAGACAGAAAATAAATGTTTAGCTTGTGAAACATGGAGGCCTTCAAAAGAGCCTTCTGCTGGTATGTTATTTAAAATATGCAAGTCCATAGTTAATTAAACAAGAAATAATTATAGTAATTTACTGTATTTTATTTAGGTATTAAAACATTGTAAAAAGTACTAAGGATGTTATTACTTTGTTATTAAAATAAATAGAAGGCAGGGTTCCTTCAATCAGTGTTGTATTTTTAGAGCATTGTTTGATATATTTACTTTATTTATTTACTGTATTTCTCATACCGTTATGGTGATCTCTGAGTTAAGTAAGAAAGTGAAATATTATTATTGTACTGTGAAAGTACAAGGTAACAGACTGTCCAGGTGTTCTTAAGAAAGGTGTATATAACTATGTATAAAGAAGATAAAATGTTCTAAAGTGCAAGTCATTGGTGTGCTCAACAAAAATTTTGACATTTTTTCTAAAACATTTCATAATTTCTTAGAATTTTTGAAAATTTCTATGCTTGTAGCCCATAAAGATCACAATGTACAGGGTGGTTATAACTAAAGTGGCCTTATTCAGACTACTCTAGAACCTGTTCTATTTATTGAATTTTGATGAAATTTGGTATATATGTTATATGGACCATGGGGAAATGATTTCTGCAGTAAAATATAGTTCAAATTTTGACCACCAGGGAGAATTATGGCACCTAAAGAAGGACAAAAATCTGTCAGAATCATTAAAGATTATTCAGTTACAGAATGTGCTCCATTGACATCAATTACATGCTGAAAGCACATTATAGCGTGTTCAGTGGTAGCACAAAGTAACTCTTGAGGGATTTCAGCAAGATGGCATGTAATGCTGGCTTTCAACTCAGGTAAACTTCTAAGTCCTCCTCCATAGACATGGTCTTGTAAGAATTCCCACTACCAGGAATCATAGGGATTTAAGTCGGGGGGGAGGAGGCCAGGCATCCGGAAAATCTGCATAGTACACGATTCTAAGTTAGCATGAAGCAGTTCTTTGATTTAAGAGGTTATCACACATGGCCACAATCCCTGCTAGACGGGACTTTTCTGAGAAGTCATGATTCTGGTAGCACTGGATTAAACAAGAGGATTCCTAGAAAAAAGAGCCCTGCCTAAAGTGAAGTCCCGCCTAGCTATGGAAGCAATGTTGCGGCTACACAGGATTTTTCAAACTTCATCGAAAATGTCTCGGGTCCCTAGTAGAGACAACCAATCAGACGAAAGTTTTGGAAATCCCGATTTGAGCGTTAATCGATTACTGTTTGGCGTTCAAGTGTTTGTAGTAAGTGAGAATGGTAAACTAGCTGCATGTGTTTCCTGGAATTGTGCGGGTTCTGAGAATTGTCCCTTTCAACGTGAAATCCCGCATAGCCGAAACATAATGTGATTGGGACCTTGCTGTCCAGTGTGGGGAGTTGCTCTATCTAAAACAATGTAGTTCCTGTAAAGCAGGAATGAATTGCTGTCGAAGGAGTTCACTGTACTGTGCACTCATGATGGAGCACGTTTTAGGACTTTGAAGAAATAGAGTTTCGAAAAAAAAACAGTCCGAGGATAAAATCAGCAGTAAATCCACGCCATACAGTCCAATAATCAGAATGCAATGGTTGTTGGTGTAGAGCATTAGGAGCTGAAGCACCCTGTATGTGACAATTTTAAATTATTCACAGCTCCATCTAAAGAAAAGTGCACCTCATCTGACCTTTCCAAGGCCACGTGTTAAGGTTGCAGTACTGGAAGCCAAGTGGATCTTATATGGATGCCATTTTAAAATGGATCGCAGAATTTTTTGTGCTGTCGACCAAGGAATCACCAACTCGTCTGACACCGATTGAACTTTTACTGAAGAATAGTGGGATTTAGAGGATCTTCCAACCACAGCAGTAGAGAATTCTTCGACAGTTTCATTCGCAACCAGTTTCTGCCCTCTTCCTGGCAGCACACCCAAGTCTCCAGTCTCTTCAAATTTCGTAATCATCTTCAAACCATTCTTCAACATGGGCCCTTTTCACAATCACTTTACGATGACATTCACGCAACGGAGCTTACGATTGTTGGCAATGGTGATGATAAAGGCAAAGCATATTTTGCTTCCCTTAAATAAAGCTAAGACTAATGTAAATAAAATCCATGCTTTATTCCGTAAATTAAAGTAAAAGAGCTAACACTGTAGCCTTTACATTTAAAATCATTAAGTGAAAGAAAAAACTAGCATAATGCTAACTGATAATAACACAAGAGAACAAGAACATTTGCCGATATTGGCGTACATATATGTAATACTCGGCCAACCCGCCGATCTTGACGTCATCGGCCAATCAGCAACAACCACGCTAGCTTACCGCCGATTGACCTCCGATCAAAATTTGCATGTGGAAAACTAAAGCCAACAAACGGCCCTCTTTTTCCCATGCAAAGACAAAACCAAAACTTACACAGAAGTTCATAGTTCAATTCTATAATACGAAACACTTATTGTCTTTAAACACTGAAAACATCTAAACAAAACTTTCTTAAATTAACAGCAGTCGCTGCTTTTGTAAATACGGCAGTATTTAATTTACTAGGGTTAAATTCAAGGTCAAACACTCCACCATTTACTAGTCTTCTAACAAAGTGATATTTTACATCTATGTGCTTAGTTCGGCGATTTTCTATTGGCGATCTAGAGAAATCAATGGCAGACTTGTTATCACAAAATAGTTTACACTCTCTTAAACTTTAAAACTTTCATCTTGTAAGACTTTTTGTCCACATTAATTCCTTCGCTGCCTCAGATAAGGCGATATACTTCACTTCCATGGTTGATAAATTTACACATTTTTGTTTAACAGTTTTCCAGATTACCGGTACTTCATCTAAATATAATATAAATCCTCCCATGGACATGCGGTCATCTCTATTACTTGCATAAACGGCATCTGAATAACAATATAAATTTATATGTTTAATTTTTGATAAGTTTAACTTATATAACTTAGTACTATTGAGATAACCAAGCAATTTCAACAATGCTTCCCAATGCCTAATTCCAGGATTCTCCTGAAATTGTGATAAGATATTCACTGCATATGTAATATCAGGCCTTGTCCTGTTAGCTACAAAAACTAAACATCCTAACAGATTTCTAAAGGGTAATGTATGCATTTCTGCAATTTCTGCACTTGTAGATGGACAATCTAATTTTCTAAGAATAGTGCCTTTAGCTATGGGAAGTGAAGTTATTGGTATCTGGAAATGTTTAAATTTTTCAAAAATTTCTTCGATATATTTTTGCTGATGTATAAAAACCCCATTCTCATTCTCTAAGAATTCAATTCCAAGTAACGTTTTAGTTTTGCCTAATACTTTAAGATAAAAAAACTTACTCAGCTGTGAAATTACTTTATCTATACTATATTGATCTTTACTAAAATCACAATATCATCTACAATATAACAAGAGAATTACATTTGAACCCTTATAAACACAATACATACACCATTGTATTTTCTTAAAATGTAGATTTTCTAAAGTACTTTCAAATTCACAAAACCATTCATGGCCGCTTTGATGTAGACCGTAAATGGCCTTGTGTAATAAACACACTTTATTTTTTCTTCGATAAATCCCTCTGGTTGGGTCATATATATTTCTCATTTAGGTTTGCATATAAATATGCATGTTCTTTACATCTAACTGACAATTAGTCCATCCATATAAACATACCAGTATAGTGAAAAATATTCTTATGATTGAAAAATTACTACAGGACTGTAAACGTCATCAAAATCTTCACTACTTTTCTGCCTGAATCCCTGTGCTACTAAACGTGCTTTGTATGTAACCACTTGATTCTTTTCATTTCTTTTTAGCGTATAGACCCATTTGTTTCCTATCATAGATTTATTTTCTGGCTTTTCGACTAATTCCCAAACCTTTCTTTTCTTCATTGTGTCACTTTCTTCTTTCATTGCCCTATCCCATTTTTCGGCATTTACTGATTTTCGTGCTTCTTTAAAATTTTGTGGGATAACAATTTCTATGGAATTTGCCTCTTCAGACACGGAGCTAGTCTCCTGTTCTACAAAATTAACTTTCCGCGAGTATTCGTTTTTTCCACTAAAATCAAACTTATCTTTTTCAAATTTAATATTTCTTGCCTCACAATACTTTTTAATATCATTATAAGATCTAAAACGGGTGTCTGTTCCCTCTACATAATAATATATGTCTGTACGTGTTCCATCTAGCCTTTTAACTGCTTTTCTTTGCCAGTTTAAGTCTGATACTTCTTTCGGGAGTAGATTTGTCATCTGACAACTTAATTTCTTCTCTAGAAAGTTTCCTGTTCTTCATCTGATTCTGCTAATAGCTCAGATTGCTCTAGTCTTTTGAATTTAGGTTTTGTTTTTTGTTCCAGGATGCCATTTGCTGCATACAGTTTTTCATCGAATTTCACATTACAGGTTTCTATTAATCTGCGTTCTTCTGGCAGCCATATCCTATAACCCCTAGTTTCCTTCACATAACCTACCATGATTCTTTCTTTGCACCTCATTTGTAATTTATTTCTAATCTGTTTTGGCACGCCAACATAGGCTTTACAACCAAATATTTTAAAATAAACAACACTGGGTTTTCTATTTAGGAACATTTCATAAGGGGTTCGGTTGCTTTTATGACATACTCTGTTCCACATATGTACGAAACAGCCAAGAGCTTCTGCCCACATTCTTTTCCTATTTTACCATCATTAAGCATAGCTTTAACTGCATCTAATGCCGTTCGGCCCAAGGCGTTTTGACTTCTAGAGTACCTTTGCAAATTAATGCAATTACCTCCACAACTTCGATAAGAAATCTGAAATAATTAAGAAAAAGCAATGGCTAAAGGGAAATGAACGAAACCGTTAAGGGTTTACAGAGAGAGAAGTGAATAAGGAGTCCACACTAGGGACGAAAAATTCTTTCTGCTTTCAACTTGTTTTACAAGATTGAAAGAGAGAGAGTTGATAATTAAGGCGAATTCCTGAACGCACTGCGTTAATGGAATCGAAAAGGTT